CACAAGATTTACGCAAAATATTTTGCGTACGCAGCTTGATGAATCATGAATCTACCCCCTGGACCCCCCCCGTCAGTGCAAGCGCACACGGTATCAGAGTCTACAGTTCCCAGGGGCGTGTACAGGGGGGGTCCAGGGGGTTCGGACCCCCCTACTCGCCATGCGATTAAATCTAATTTAAAAAAAATTCTGGGGGAGAGCCCCCCAAACCCCCCCTTCGCGTGCTCCTGTACACGCCAACGGTTTCGCCCCCCTTAAGAAAATACCCTGGCGCCGCCCCTGATTGCAATATTAATATGATGATATTACAATAGACAGTTTGATGTCAAACCACTATATCGAGTATGTGCTCTGTACATTACACGCATAATTTCAATAAATTCATATTCCTTTTGAAATACTTGAATATCGATAAAACCAAAATTAGGGGTTAAACAAAAACTCATTAAAATGAAGTGATAACTTTGTTACTTTATTTATTAATTTAGTTTTCAAGTTATTTGCATTTATAGACACGTTTCCTATTCATGGTGGCGTGGGTGCCGGCATTGCTACGACCCTGTATTAATTATTTCATTCCAATAACATGTTATGTTAACCACCTTCTTGTCCAGTGTCATTTTGAATCTACCCTTACTGTGGGCGGACCTCAAATATATCCTGAAACGACGATAGGAACGCATAAATTATCTGGTTATATTGGTGAGTGATATACCTTTGATAAGTGATGCCAATGTTGACTTATATTCCTAACCAATATCGATACCAGTTGTTATTTGAATTACCATAGGCGTGTGTAATAATGTTTGACCACTAGGCCTTATCTTCATATATCATTTATTATCAGCACACATGTTAAATTCACATGAAACGATTATGCCTGTGTATATAAAAGTACCTGCTACGCAGGATTCCTTTTTGTATCTACAACTGCGTCGTAGACTTTCGCTCTCATTAACAGACATGATCCGATCACTTTCTATACTCGTGTGTTTCCTGGGATTAAGTGGTGTTTCAGGTGATATTCGATCTTAACTTATACATCAATATATTTTTTGCTATGATTAATGATAATGTGTTATTATATCGTATTTAATAATATAGTTAATGTATATACGGATTTTATTTTTATACGTGAGTTACTAGCTAAAAAGTTTCACTAGAATAGATTTCATAAACAGGTAATTCGACTAGAACGAGATTTTATTATTGTTGTGATGCTTGAGCAGCTGTGCCGAAGGCGACGCCATGCGGCGTGAAGTTGATTCCTCACATAGAAGGCAACGGAGATCAGAAGATTTTCGGTGGCGTCGAGGCCAGGCCAAACAGCTGGCCGTGGCAGATATCCTTGCGTAAGAAGGGTTACGAGGACGTCGAGTCTGGAGGTCACTTCTGTGGAGGCACCCTGATTAGCTGGACGCGAAACTGGTGCCTTACAGCTAGGCCACTGCATCTGCCATGGTGAGTGGTTAACATTCCTGCGAGAATATAATGATATCTATGAGTATATTATTCGTCTGAAGAATTATAATGATTAAACTTAGTTTAGCACGTAATGCAAATCGCTCATTCTGTTAGCTCTACTGTTTGCTGTAATTTCAATGATTGATCGCATGTTTGTGGCGCTAACTTTGGCAAAATCATTTATGACTGCCCGGCAAGCTAGGCATACAGTCCAGTTCCTCATGTCCCTTTCTCCTTTAAATGATTTTTATCTTATAGCCGGGTTAAGAGATCCGAGAAATATCATCAGGGGTTCATGCGGGAAGGGCGCATACAACCTATAAAATAGACGAACAGCGAACAAAGCGAGAAATGTTAGCTTGGTATGTCATAGGCATATCTGTGGACGGTCAATGGATTAATGGCACGTAAGGGTAAACGCAGCTTTGCAGTATTGCGAAACTCCAGTTTTCCGATTTATACATTATATATTATTAACAACGCACTAATTTAAAGTGATCCACGTAGTGAAAAGCATTCTTTATAATAAAACACACCGTTAATACGTCAGGGATATCCCTAATAAAAACGCATTTTGATGCGAAACGTGGAACAGTTTTGTATCTTTAATAATAACAGTGAAGAAATCAAAAAATAACGTGCATGAGTTTCAAACCACAGTTATTTGAATGTCTGGCGCGCAAATGTGCTTGAATTTACCGCTTTGGCTTCAAGATACCGTTGCATGATAGTCTCCGATAACAGCTATTCGTAGTGTTTATTTCAAGCGCAGGCTAGACCAATGACATAGCTCTCCTAGAACTAAGAGAGTCGCCAATTTGAGCTGAACGACTACGTGGCTGTTACCTGTTGCCTCCACAAAAATCTGGAATTGAATCATGGCGATATGTGCTATGCCACTGCGGGGAGCAACAGTCCGGTAAGCATAGGCGGTGGAAATACTTAAATGTAGAAGTGTTAATGTAATTTCATGTTGCGATAGTCTATCACGTCTTTCTATTTGTAAATAACCGCAAAATTAACCAATAAATTCTTTTTTTAATAAACGGCACTATGTTGACAATTGTGTGCTATGTCGGCAATGTCAGATATTGAATTAGTTCAAATCTGGTCAGTCGTAATTTATTTCTGGCACGTACATAATCAGTCTATGCGATGACTTCTCACAATCGAATTAAAAGTTCATATCAACTGTTCACGCTATAGACGCGTAGTCTGACGCATGCCTTGCAGATTACTTGGTGGAGGATGCAGTTGTATCCACCGTGATGAAGCAAACCCTGCTACCAGTCTGGGATCACAAAACCTGTAAGCGCGTTACCTTGCTGCACCTATTCCTGCTTACCGAGAACATGATCTGTACTGGCTACGAGGAGGGAGGACATGGGACGTGCAAGGTAAACTTCTTAAATAATGAAATGATGTTCCATACGAATGTTACAAACACTATATTCAACATATGACAATTTCTCGTCTAATAGTATATGTCTCCACTCAGCACACCTAATAAATTGTACAGTTATATGAAAATATTTTATATGTGCGCGTGCGTAATACGTCACATCTTTTCTGTAGCTACACAACGCTACTTCATTGTTTACGCGTATAATATCTGTGTGTGTGTGCTGCACGCAGGGAGACTCAGGCGGTCCGCTTCATTGTGAGGTGAACGGAGTGTGGAACGTACTTGGCGCCACCTCGTGGGGCTTCGGCTGCGGTCGCCCCAACAACCCCGGGGTCTTCACCAAGGTGTCGAAGTACAGAGACTGGATCGATACAGTGATGGCCGAAAGCACTGGCATCAGCGGCGACTACGGTATCTTCAAGTCACGGTGTGACGATGGGACAAAGTGAAACATAAACGTTTCAGGGCGGCGATTTTCACACCTATAAGTTGAATTGCAAGTCTTGCGAGATATTTCGAGGAGGGTAATGAAGATGCGCATATAAACACGTAGCGTTTAAAATGCATATTGCTTTATACTTCAATAAGTTCAATAGATTCAACATGTTTAAAAATTTTTATTTATACTAAATATCTTTTCCGCGTAAGAATGCTTAACAAGTTATAGATTGCATGAAGTTAAGAGATTAATCAGATATGTTACTATTTTAATAAAGCCACACACAGAAAATTTCAAGTTTCAGTTGCAAAAATAATAATAATTTCATGTTTAAACAATTGATTTAGAATTATCACGTTGAGCTGTAAGTAAAATGTGCATGCATTCTCTAACGCGTAAGATATATGGATGCATCGTCACTGCCTCACTGCTTCTTTTAATTCAGTACACAATAAACGTTGCCATTTTGCGGATTACAGATTTTGTCATTACATTTCCGAATATAACGCAATTTAGTGATGTATGCACGATTTCGATACTGGCCGACAATAAACAGTCGTGCCCAAAGGCATTTGCTTTTACTAAATCTAACCGCATTGATTTGATTAAATTATAAAACAATCTTATTCATTAAAATTATTTTTTATCGTTTTAATTTTATTTAATAGAATGCAATCTAATCTATTATTTGCGATTCTACTTCGCCGCGCACGTCTATATGTAAGTGGAATTCACGCAGGAACGGGAAGGTTATTCTGGCCGGACGAAAATAATGCACGACGTCAAAAAGCATTTGTAATATGGATACATTCGGCGTGACTCAGAATCGTATAATAGTTGTACAAAATTAGGAAATGCCATATATACTTGTGTAATGTACAGTTAAATTCCGTGTGACCAGTATTCGCGATAAGGTTAGAGGGCTGAAAACGGTATCTGTATAAAATAGCCGCATATAAGCACGGTGCGAATACATTTAAATTCGATGGACATATGGATCGAGCATCGATGAGTCAGAAGGTACTATGCGAACTGCTACGTGCGGATTATATTACCAGCTAGAGATTGTGTATATAACGAGACGATACTTCTTGTGTATATACCGTACTTCTGATATAACCTAACTGCTCACATATCTGATCACGTGCCGTTAACGCATACGGGCTCTTTATTAACTAATCATCTAACACATTACACAATTATTTGCAGTAGACGTTCAGATTAAAATATAGGACTAAAATGTATGAAATTATCTATTCGAATGAAAATGACGTGCAAAATAGAGCCAGACACGCTTGTGTACTTCCGTATTCGACGTCAAGCACACAGTCTATCGATACATTTCACCGCGTAGTTCGAAATTTTACCGATAAGCCGCAAACATTTTACAAATTAAGAAATTTCAGATGAGCTAACACATATTTATATCTTCGCTACCGTTCATTTGGATAGGTGCGCACGTGATAGCAAAGTGATAATAATACTAGCAAAGTAATAATAATACTAACAAAGTGATAATAATACTAGCAAAGTGATAATAATACTAACAAAGTGAGAATAATACGAACAACATTGGCATCAGGAGTATAAAAAAGGCGAGATTCCACCAGCTCCAATTTTCCGTATCCACTTATCTTTATCACGCCATGTAACTGATCCATCCCTGCTAACTAGACAAATGAATATCACTACCAACAGCTTTGTCATCTGGTAACTTGTCATCGACGTGTCTTTTGTATAGTTGGCCTAAATAGGCGCATAATCTAGGAACGCGATTTTCTCATTAAAGATGTCTTCATGTAGAAACAATTCACCTATCTGTAACGAATCCGCGCATCTACATGAAATACAATAAACAGTACTCGCATACAATGAACAACAAAATGGATTGAATAGCATTGAAAAAGAAGCGGTGGGAATGACTAGCATACCTATACCGCTCGGAAGAACAAACAAATGACCTTGCGCAAGCCGCAGCTGTACGCACTGCCCTGCCACCGAGTGATTTCAATTCATAGCTTGATCGTGTGTGCATATGATGATGACAATGCGTATTTCGTTGAAAAATTATAATGATTGGAATATAAATATTTTTTGTGAACTATAGGGTTTATAATAAATTTACCTGCCGTGCAGATATTTTTATTAGCTATTATAAGGTGATATGTCCTTTTGCCTAGTGGCCTTTTATTTGACCCTTTTTATTTGACTTTTTAATAGTCGTGTTTGCAAGAAACAAGTTTTAAAGATAAGCATATCAGTACAGACGCTAGGTTCCCACAGGTAATGATTACTCATGTCGTATATAAGCCCATGAACGCAATAGGGACCACTCTAGATCATTTTGCAGCAGTGGGAAGGATTGCGTTGTCTTTGCTAGACAAAAATGATCAAGTTAGCCGTTGTGCTCGTCAGTATCGTGGGGCTGAGCAGCTCAGCAGGTAAGACAGTTCACCGGCAATCATCATATAGTTACAGTTATCACTAAACTTTCACCGATGTATTAGTTAATACAAGTATAATGTCATCGCATATGTTATTTAATGAATATCTGTAGTTAAAATTTATATTCGTAAATTACCAATGTCGTAATGCTATAGCAGGAATAGTACTTAATTTGAATTAAAATTGTTTAGTTAATTTAGTGTATTATAGGCAGTATTATTTACCTGGGAAATTGGTAATGAATCCAGGTTCCCCTTCATGTTCTTAAATATTACCAGGAAAATGTGATTACAGGTAAAGATCCATGATCACGTTCTTCTGATAATTAACCGCGTTCTACTGCAGCTGTGCCGAAGGCGACGCCATGCGGCGTGAAGTTTATTCCTCACATAGAAGGCAACGGAGATTCAGAAAATTTCGGGTGGCGTCGAGGCCAGGCCAAACAGCTGGCCGTGGCAGATATCCCTTGCGTAAGAAGGGTTACGAGGACGTCGATCACTGAAGGTCACCTTCTGTGGAGGCACCTGATTAGCTGACGCGAAATGGTCTTACAGCAGGCCACATGCATCTCGCCATGGTGATGTTAACATTCCTGCGAGAATATAATGAATATATGATATATTATTCGTGAAGAATTATAATGATTAAACCTTATTACACGTAATGCAATCGCTCAATTACTGTTAGCTCTACTCTTTGCTGTAATTTTCATGATTGAATCGCATGTTTGGAGCGCTAACTTTGGCAAAATATTTATGACTAGCCGCATAGCCTAGGCATACAGCCCAGTTCCTCATGTCCTTTCTCCTTTAAAGATTTTTATCTTATAGCCGTTAAGCAGATCTCGAGAAATATCATCAGGGTTCATGGCGGGAAGGGCGCATTACAACCTATAAAATGAGCGAACAGCGAACAAAGCAGAGAAATGTTAGCTGTATGTCATAGGATATCTGTGACGTCAATGATTAATTGGCACGTAAAGGGTAAACGCAGCTTGCAGGTATTGCGAACCCAGTTTTCGATTTTATACAATTATATATTATATAACCGCACTATTTAAAGTGATCCACGTAGTGAAAACATTCTTTATATAAAACACACCGTTAATACGTCAGGATATCCCTAAAAAAACGCATTTCTGATGCGAAACGTGGATAGTTTTGTATCTAATATAACATGCAAGAAACAAAAATAACGTCGGCAATATTGTTTCAAACCACAAGTTATCTTGAATGTCTGGCCCAAATGTGGCTTAATTTACCGCTTTGGCTTCAAGATACGTTGCATGATTACTTTCGATAACAGCTATTCGTAGTGTTTTATTCACTGCAGGCTAGACAATGACATAGCTCTCCTAGAACTAGAGAGCGCCAATTTGAGCATAGAACGACTACGTGCTGTTACCTGCTTGCCTCCACAAAATATGGAATTGATCATGGCGATATGTGCTAGCCACTGCTGGGGAGCAACAGTCGGTAAGCATCAGGCGGTGGAATACTATAAATGTAGAAGTGTTAATGTAATTTCATGTTGCATAGTCTATCACATGTCTTCTATTTGTAAATAACGCAAAATTAACCAATAAATTCTTCTTCTTTTTTTAATAAACGGCACTATGTTGACAATTGTGTGCTATGTCGGCAATGTCAGATATTGAATTAGTTCAAATCTGGTCAGTATGCGTAATTTATTTCTCACGTACATAATCAGTCTATGCGAGGTCTTCTCACAATCGAATTAAAAGTTCATATCAACTGTTCACGTTATAGACGCGTAGTCTGACGCATGCCTTGCAGATTACTTGGTAGAGGATGCAGTTGTATCCACCGTGATGAAGCAAACCCTGCTACCATCTGGGATCACAAAAACCTGTAACGCGTTACCTGCTGCACCTATTTCTGCTTACGAAACATGATCTGTACTGGCTACGAGGAGGGTGGACATGGAACGTGCAAGGTAAACTTCTTAAATAATGAAATGATGTTCCATACGAATGTTACAAACACTATATTCAACATATGACAATTTCTCTGTCTATAGTATATGTCTCCACTCAGCACACCTAATAAATTGTACAGTTATAATGAAAATATTTTTATATGCGCGCGGTGCGTAATACGTCACATCTTTTCTGTAGCTACACAACGCTACTCATTGTTTACCGTCGAATAATATCTGTGTGTGTGTGCTGCAGCGCAGGGAGACTCAGGCGGTCGCTTTCATTGTATGGTGAAGCGGAAGTGTGGAATCGTACTTGGCGCCACTCGTGGGCTTTGGCTGCGGTCGCCCCAACAACCCCGGGGTCTTCACCAAGGTGTCGAAGTACAGAGACTGGATCGATACAGTGATGACCGAAAGCACTGGCATCAGCGGCGACTACGGTATCTTCAAGTCACGGTGCGAGGACAACGTCTAACCGTACTTCCGCTGCCAGGGCCGGTTATCCCCGACGCACGTTAAACGTCTGGCAGGCATCGACCAAACATTTAACTACGCCGAAACGCAATACATTAGTCTAAAACTATTTGGTGATTGATAAGCAGATTTCTTACACGACGAACAGATGTATTATTATGGTTAAATACAAAGCTCTGGAAAAAGCATTTTTTAAATCTTTTAATTCCATTCTTCAAATCTGTTTATTTGAAATTATGTATAAGCTTACACATGTTACGTTTCTATGCATTCGCGTAAGAGATTGCTAGATGTTTACATAAAATTTCTTTTATCTTGGAATTTACAAGCGATACAAAATTTAATACATAACATTCCCAACACAATACAGAAGCAAAAATTTAGTTATCATTTCACATCTATATGGATGTTTGAGACTGACATAATGCCACTAATGTAGGTTCACGCGTATAATCGAGGTACGTTTCATTATTGACATGTAATACAATACAAGTAACGACAGAACAAAAAAACATTGCAGACAACAGAGTTTTCGATATTTGGATTGGCTTGTAGTCCTTCGTTCACTTAGAGATCACTTGATTCTGTACTTCTGTCTCGTGAGTGAGACGCTGAAAGACATCCCGTTTTACATCTGCCTTCGCAGACTCCTCCGTGAAAGACGCTTCAAAAAGTAGCTGGAAAAACACTGTAAGTCCATCTGAAAATTCCGAAATTACGAACATCATATAGAAGTATAAACAAAAGGCCATCGCACAAAAGTGGCGCATTCGTCGATGATTATGTTTACATAACTATACGATCCACGTGATCTTTCAAAAGGATTTCAAATATGCTCGCGCTTTCCACAATTATCAGGCAGTGATAGCAAGAGGGGTAGTAGCACCAAGAGCTGATGATCTCCGAGTGTGTAATGACTTGAGCCCGTCACAGCATGTTCGACGATGATGTGCGATTTGTGTGATCGTGCCGAGATCAACTATATGCTTACCATCGATTTTCACCAGAACAGATGGCTGCCAAGATATGAAAACAAAGTAGACTAATGCTCCGACGGCAATGAATCCTACTCCGATTAGATTCTCGACTGGCTGCTCCCAGAAAGGCACCACGACCAGAAACAGCGACGACAGCATAAATGCTACATGCACTATCAGGGGAAACTGTAATGGAAGTGGTTTGGAATGAATCGCGGTGATTTTATATAAACTGACGGTTTTATCATTCGTTCACATAAACATCTCGTAAGTCGGATTGAAAAATCTGATCGAAATAGCTGACATTTGACGTGCCCATTAAAATATGTCTTATTTTGAGTAATCTATTTAATTTAATTGCAACTGCTGCAAGGCGAATCATATCCGAACAAATTTGATTCTGCCATGTTGTGCAGGCGCTTCCTATACTTCCCTCTCTTTATAGCCAACACTGCCGCGCTTTCCCACTTATAAACTTGCTGCGTCAACATCCTTAACATTCGCCTACTTATCAATTTTCGCCTAGTACTCCTCAATTTGCCTTACCCTGAAGGGCCAGTCTTCACTGCGATCTCGCCATCGCATGTAGAGAAGTGCCGTGACGGACACGCAAACGACAGTCCACTGTACGAAACCGGTGAAGTTCAGCAGTGCGTAGACGTTGCCTTCGCCTATCGCCACCAGTAAACTCCCCAACAGTCCCTGCAAGTTGAAATTAGGTAACCAGTGTGGTCGGCGAGAATTTACAAGAATTTGATTTCCCCCCGCGGTTGGTGAAGACTGTGAGGTCTGAGTCTGAGGCGTAAGAGGAATGAGACGAGAGACGTAAGAGAGAGAGAGAGAGAGAGAGAGAGAGAGAGAGAGAAAAGAAAGAGACGAGAAGAGAGTCTGAGGAATGAGACTATAAGTCACATTGGCGACTGGTAAGACGTGTATGAATAAAAAGTTTAGCAATTTTTTGGGGGGTTTATGCAAGTTTCCCCAGTCGTTGTAAATTCCGTTATCGCCACAACGAAAATGTTCGGCGATGTTCGAAAAGCGACTTAACTTACGTTACGTTAACTTACGTTTGCCATCAAAGCCGGTTGAGGCGTGTATCTATGTATACTAAGCGTTGCAAGGAACGAGGGAAACTGGTGTTCCCGGGATCCTGCGAAGAATCCTCTGTGGAGAGATGTAGTGGTGGTTACCGAATACTTCTTTCCTACGTGACTAGTTATCCGTTAAATAATAGCCATTTAATCAATGAGTAATTGAGTAATATATATATTATTATTACGTTATATTTTTATTACGGTTCTATTCTAATGTCTGCGGACCTGATGAAGAGATGTAATAATTGTTAGTATATGTTAATTGTTAATTAAATTTTAAGCACCCTTATTCTATAATTTGACTTTGTTTATATATATATATATATATATATATATATATATATATATATATATAG